CCCGCCCCCCTGCCCCTAACGCAACCAGCCAAACAATAATCAGCTTTATTATTAATATCGGTCTTTGTCCTCACAACAATATAAATCACAGTTGAAACTTAGAGAATAACACGGAAAGTCGTCTTCATTGGCTTCGGCCAGGCAAAAAAGCGTCCGCCCACCGGTCCAGGGGTTCACTCGAAGTCCGAGTCGGAGCCGGGATCCGAGTGTCCGGACTGCAGGACGATCTTGTAGTGTCCGGTGGGGTCCCACAGGCGGTCCAAGGACAGCCGGGACATGGCGAGCACCCACACGCCGGCGCAGTGACAGTGCGCACACTGGATCTTGCGCGGACTGACCTGCTCTTTGGCGCAAAAGAGGCGATTGGCGTCGTCGTCCAGCACGTCGAAAGCGTCGGTCGCGATGCTCCACACGAACAGAAAATGGCCCCAGAAGTTCTCGACGAAGGCGTGCGGATCGGCCGTCCTCAGGGCGCCCACCTTGATCACGCCCTGGCCGATAATCTCGCCGTTCATTGGACAGACCTGCACAGGTACCGATTGAGTTGCGGCGCGCGTGCGCTGTGCGCGACTCACATGGACGACTTTCAGGTCGTAGTCCTCGCAGTGCATGAACTGGAGGCCCGATTTGAGGCACAGGATCTGCGCCTGCTTCTGCACGAACTGCTCAGCGTCGAGGGAGCGCTGAGTGACGATCAGCTGCACCTCCACCATGTGGTCCGGCTTGTCGGCGTCGGCGTCGCTCTGCTGCCCGCTCAGGCTCTGCGCCAGCAGCGGCACCTCGATCGGGTTGTTGTAATCGTCTGGAAAAGGCGGCGGTTTTGGCAAAAAACTGCGGTTTTTCTCACTCAAATTGAAACTCTGATCAGCACAATTTTTCGATTTTCTCCAAAATTACAGTTTTGATGACTGATTCGGCCTTTTGGGTCGATTTCAGCTGAAAATGAGTACAATGTCGATAGGTCAAATTTCGAAATTTCGAAAAAAAGTTTTTTTTTTCGAAATTTGGCCCATCGACATTGTACTCATTTTCAGCTAAAATTGTCTCAAAAAGCCAAATCTGCTATCAGAATTGACGTGAAAATATTTACAAGCAAACTAACTGCATTGAGGAACTTTTTGTTGCATCTTCGTGCCAAAATACCTGAAGTTTGAGGAAAACCGTTAGCTAAATTGCAATTCTAACGACGGTTTTGCGTTTTTGAGTCAATTTCAACATAAAATGAGTACCATGTCGACGGGCAAATTTTTCCAAAAAAAAAAACATTTTTGGGTACCACACTTTTTTTTTGAAAAACCACCCATCCACATTGCACTGATTTCCAGCTCAAACCGCCTCAAAAATCCAGCGGCGTGACGCGCATTTTTTCGTGCGCGGCAGGTTTTGGAGCAATCAATTGTCAAACTCTGCGCAACACAATTGACTCTTCTGCGCTGTTAAGGTCACTTCAAAGCGGCGCTACAAATCATCCAGGCGGGCCATGGAAATGAAAAAAATCGCACTGATCGCGTAAGACGTCCTCCATCTAGTGGCGCAGTGCGCAATTTTCGGTCCAGCGCAGTTTTAGCGCAATTAGTTG